TATGACCTCACCTCAGAACTGGGAGCTTTCCTGGGAAAGTGATCCTTTTGCTAACTGTTTGTTTAAAAGCTGACAGGCTACAAGGGTCTCAGTGACAGCATCTATTCATCTCGGGGTGTCAGACAGAGAGAAGAAAACAAACGAGGAAGGGATAAAGAAACAGAGCGAGAGAGAGAGAGAGGTGGCGGATGAAGAGAGATTGAGAGAGGAAGCTCGGTAAAGAGGAAATGGGGAGATTGGTGTGCTTTAACAATAGGCTAGATTTACCTTTAGCTTTGAAGCACCTTCGGATCATCTCGGTAGCGATTTCAGAAATTCATCTGGCTCAGTGACTGAATGTGTACTGATGTTTTCATCACTTTGGTTTTAATTATATGTCTCACTCAGCACAGTCTTCCTTCTACTCGGCTAATTTAGATTGAGATCCTTCCAGGCTTTCCCCTATCTTTCATTTCCCTCCCCTCTTTCTCTCCTCTCTGCATCCCATCAGCCCCTTTGTAGAAAAAAGAAAAAAAAGAGGAAGGGGAAAAAAAAAAACCTTCATGTCTGTGACTTTCTTGCCCTCCAGCATATGAAGCCCTCTTTTATTTTGATCATCGCAGCACAATGGATTCATGCCATTCTGGCAACTTTATTCAGTATCAGCCCAAATTTACATACTGCTTAACAAGTTTGTGCGTGACTGTTGATGCCTCTGATCAAAGTGCTTTTGGAAATCTTTCTCATCAGATTTTTTCCCCCATCCTTCATTTCAGATGCATGCTGCAGACAGGCATCTTTGACTCAGGGGCAAAGAAAGGTAACCTTAGTGCTGCACAAGCCCAAATGTCATCCAACAAGGAGGGCTCATGTCCCGGGGATAAAGATAATGTAATCTAAGCAGTATACAGTGTGTGACTGTGTGTGTGTGTGTGTGTGTGTGTGTGTGTGCGTGTGTGTGTGTGTATCTATGCTAGCCTCTGTGTTTGTTGGAGGCTTGGGTTCAGGGGGGGTGGGGAGGGAGACAGGGGATGACAAAAGTCAAAGCAGTCATGTGTCATTTTCGGCGCTGAAGGGCTGGGACCTGCCTGCAGGGCTGTCCTCTCTGTCAGACGCACTCACATATCTGCGCTGAACTCTCTCGCCGTCTCTTTTTTCTTTGCTCCGTCCGTCCCTCTGTCTTCATCCGATGCACACCGCATTTACTGCAGCTGCACGACTCCGTGCCCTGAGCTGCATTGGTAGAACAACATTTTGTGTCACAAAGATAATACAAACATCTGCTTTTGGATGCACGGTGTGTGGTGACTCATTTCATATTTCTTCATCATTGTTGCGTCTTGATCACATCTGGCACAGGAGCACGACTGGGAGGGACCTGATTGGTTCCATGACCAGTGAGACACTGTGAGAGTGGAGGAGGACATGTGTGTGTGTGTGTGTGTGTAGGGGGGGGTCTTTTGACAAAGATCAGGTTGTAAATCAAGATATCAGAGGCCAAGCTACAAGCCAATGCCCCATAACATTCCCATGGGGACAACAGAGAAGGCTGCGCGCGCGCGCGCGCGCGCGCGCACGCACGCACGCACGCACGCGCGCGCGCGCACACACACACACACACAACCCACTGCATGAGCCCAGTATAGCCCCCACTTACAAGTAGATTCGTAAATATACGTGGCTACCAGAGCAAACAACAGAATTGAAAAACATTAAATAACTGAAAAGGAAAAATTGGATTCAAAAATACAATGAAAAGAGGGCGTGGGTGGAAAGAGAGGAATCGTGGGAATGCAAGATTGCACCTCCCTCAGGCAATCGAATTATCCTATGGGCTGATGGTTCCTCCTTATGCGTCGGCTGACATTTTCCTGTAACCCCATCCCGTGTAATGCTATGTGATGTGTGTGACTGGCTTCTGCCACGGCCCTGAGAGGCCACAGAGCCCCGGGGCCATTTGCTTTTGGCCCGCAGCATCCTGGGAATTGTTTATATTTGCTCTGTCTGCTCCCTTTTTATTTGCTTCGCCGTCTCATTTTGCCTTCTCCCTCGTCTCTCCTGTTCTCTCGGTTTCTCGTCCTCTCCTTCTGTCTACTTTCAATTACAGGAGGATGCACTCGTATTCTTCCGCGAGACACAACTCCCTGACAGGTGACTCTTGAGGGGTAACTCAAAACCATGCCTTTAGTCTCTTCGCACAAACTGTTAGTATTCCAGCACCTTTTCACTGGACACAAAAAAAAAAAAAAACTGAAGCTGCCGGTGGTATCTGTTACTCAACTGTATACGTTGCTCTGTGTGATGATGATAAGAGGGGAGGGTGTGTTCAAGAAAAAGAAAACAGTAGGAAATCAAAATGTGCTGTGTGTTGTGCGAGGGAGAGAGAGGAGGAAGAGAGAGAGAGAGAGGAAAGAGATTTGACGACAGAGAAGATGAGATGTGTGATATGAGATAATAGAATGATATTCAAAAATATATCCCTGGAGCTAAGAGTTGAAACAGACCATTAAAAGAGAACATATTTCTGATGGCTTATGGATATGTAAGCCAGCACACCAATATGCCCAGACTTTATTCTCATACTGCAGCAGAGCCCCAAAGGGCATAAGAAGAGGAGGCGGGGCAATCCTGCTAATACACAAATAGTGTATGCGTGGAGCTGTCGACATGTGACAAGCAGAAAAGGGACAGTGTTGAGAGCCGTAGCCTTTTATGACCCAACACACTTTGACAGCTTGGCCATCGCTCCAGGTCACGAGCCATGTTGCTTTTTTTCATCTGACAATTTTGTTTTAAGCAAAACAACTCTCCCTCAATGGATTCAATTGTTCTGAGAGCTTTTGTGGCTGCGTGTCAGAGCGCAGAGCCAAAACACAAAAAAAACATGTCAGCGGCCCCGTAAATTCTGCTCGCTGTTAGCTGGAGGAGTCACACTGTCAATCTGGAGGCCCAAAAAAGTGGGATGAAAGTGTAAGCGATATGATAGGAAGGCTGCTTTTATGCAACACTGCGCTCTGCTGGTGGAAGGCAACAACCACCTCAGGTGATGCCGCAGCAGTCTAATGCGACCTCAGTTCCACAGGGGATCCTAACGTCTAATGCTTCTGTACCCTTGAAGCAGTTGCCTTATTTTGGACCTGAGGACATTCGGTGCTGACAAATTTTAAACGTCCCAAGAGGGGCACGCTCTGAAATACGGCCACAGGGTGGCACATTAGAATGACAAAAATGGAGATCCTCAAAGTGAAATGTGCCTGTGACTTGGAAATGAGCTGGAGAGAGAAGAGCAGTGGGTTTTGTTATGAGAGGGACACACTATTGGTGTTGGATGCATCCAAACAGCACAATCAGATGCAATGGTTGTTTTTTTTCCCCCGGTGTATGTTCTATATTAACTACAACATGAGAACACTCTTCGCCTAAAGTGTATGTGCATGACAGATCAAGAGAAAAGGAGATGTGGGCACAGTTTTAAAAAAAAGAAGAAATCTGTTGTGTGCTCACATTAATACTGTTTGCTACGTGTAAGCTGGGTTTCTGTGTGTGTGTGTGTGTGTGTGTGTGTGTGTGCATACAAACAATGCACTCAGTCGACAGCCCGCAGCACTGCTCATTCTTGCTTGGAGAGTACATGTCCTCGGGCCTCGTTCCTCCGTCGATGACCTCTGGTGAAGCCATTATTTTCTGCATTAATGATGAGCAGCAGCCAGCGATGAGAGAGATGGACTTTGTCCTGAGGCGCAGTAGCGCTGATTATGGGCAACAACAATGCCGGCAAAAAAAAAAAAAAAGAAAGAAAACTCTTCCCAGAAGCAGTTGAAAAGACAAGGAGTCTTAGCAGCAGCACAAAATAAGCTGCTCTTGCTCCATTGACAAGATGGATCAGATAACCTCTGTGGCTAGAGGATTACCCAGAGTTAACTTTAATAAAGTTTACCTATGGCTTGTTTTTGTCATCTGCTGGATTCAGCACCTGCACGTCAACGAACCGGTGGCTGTGACAGCACAGTAAACATCATCGAATTTCTTTGTGTACCTGAAAAGCATTAGTGCGGGGCCAATTAGCGTATGGATGAAAATGGCTGAGTGAGTCATACAAACCCCTGTGAGAATGTAATGACGTTACGTATGGGAAGTAATATCAGAGGCTTAATTGATCCTCTGACATCACCCATAAAAACACCAACCTTTAAGACTCACAAACAAGACAAATTGCAGACAAAGTGCAATTGCTCTAGTTGAGGCAGCCAGGGCACCCACTCAGGAAATCCTGGCTTGGGGAGATGACTCTAAATGAAGGACTTTACCATTCACCATTATGTCTTTGGTGAGAGTCAGAGGGAACCCCCGGGGCTCTTCAGCACAGCACGGTACAACTTTTCAAAGGGCTCCAGATTAAAGTCACTGAAAGTTCCCACTGGGGTCTGAGGCCAGGATCCCATTAAGCAGCCCTACCACACCGCCGGCCATAATTGTGTCGTTGAGAATTCAGAGCAGCGGTTGCTTGATAAGCGAATTTAGGGTGGAAAAAAAAAGAAAAAAAAATATAAAAAAAATAAAAAAAAAAAAAAAAAAAGGAGAGGCAAAAGGGGGTCTCGTTGGGCCACCATTAGACACTTCATTCGCTCCTCACTAATTTGTTTTAAATGACTGAGGGAGAGGTGAACACTTTATAAAGCAGTCCGAGCTACCTCTTCTTCCCCTCCCCAATTCCAGGTCTGTGCGACAGAACGCTGATAGATGAAAACAGCTCTTTACAGACACACAGCATACTGCCGCTAGTGGGGTTTTAAACTGTAGTTCTCTTTATCGCAGTACTTGCTTTGCAGTCGGATAATCGATGAAGAGGGGAAGCTCATTCCTCTGCTGTTTTTTTTTTCAAGTCCCTATAGTCTCCTCTTAAAGAAACCGATCAGGGCACCACTAGTTAAGACAATAGTACTCACTCGTATACACAGACACCATCTAGTGAAGCCATCTGTTAATACAGACTGTTTGATAACAAATGAAGTAAAAACATGTTACAAACAAGTCCGCTTTTATTGAGCATTTAGTTTCATTAGGTTTCTGAATGTTACAACCGGGTTTGCCATTTCAGGTTTCTCAGCGCTGTTTGGTGTATGATATAAAAACATCTTGTAAGCGTAGTTTAAGATCTAAATCCTAGCTTGACATCTATGCATGTGCTTTTAAACATCAGTTAACTCAACAGCTGGAAGTATAGGAACTGGATATTCTTTGCGGGTGGCACAGTGTCACTCGGAAACAAATGCAAAACATTTGAACAACATCAACGGATCTCAAGTTAGGATTTAGGTTTTCACAATGAAATGAATGCAAGAAGAAAACCCTTTGAAACTTACTAGTATTTGCAACCCAAAAATGCTATTGGCATCAAAGTGTAATAATGAAAAAAAACAAAACTCTTGGTTAACTGCTTCAAGTGGATTTTTTCTGCTTCTTCTTCTCTGCCTCTTCCTCCTTTTCCTTCTCAATCTCAGCCACCAGGGTCTCGATTTCCTTGGATTCCAAAATCTGAAACGTAGCAAAGAAAAGCAATTATTAGCCATTTCACAAAAAAGTAAAATAAATTTAAAAAAAACAAAAGCCAGATATAATATGCAGTGACTCACCTTCAATGGCTGATTCCGTCTGATAACAGCAAGTTCGATATTTTTCCCTCCTGACTGGACAACCTGTGAGGAAACAAATCCCAGCGAATCAGCGTATATTAACTTCTGCAGCCTCTAACACATGTTCATGTTGAGGTTAGGAAACACAGTTTTAGGGTATTTAAATGCAAATATAAATACAGAAAACAAGTCATTGAATACTGCAACTCAAATAAAAACACCACAGAATGCAACAACACATATACAGGGCAAAATGACTGCTTTTATTCGCTTAATTTTCTCCTTCTTTGGTCTGCAGGTCCAGCCAAGCACAACCAACCAAGCAATGTCATGCATGAAAACCTAACAACTATGTCAGATCACTTCCTGGTTTACATCTGGAAGCAGTTGTTGCTCTTTGATAAAGTCACGAGGAAAGTATTATATTCGTGGGTGTATATATATATATATATATATATATATTCGGGGTAGATGGAAATACTTTTGACGGGACAATTTCTCCTCTTTCGCATTTCACAGTATTTGTAATCGAAAAAGATCTTTCTACTTTATACAAAGTGTGCAAATTCAAAGGCTAAATTTGACTTTACCTCAAGCAAAGCTTTGATAGCCAACTTGATCGTTTCGTTGTCCCCAGCAATGGCATCATCCGTGTAATTCTTCTCCAGGAACTCTCTCACGGTTTTTGCGCTACGGCCGATTGCATTTGCCTGTTTTTTTTCCAACCCCAACAATTAGACAAAAATGTGTTATTAATCAAATTCATACAGACGTGGTACTTGTCGTACAAGTGCAACAAGAAAACAGAGTAATGTACAGAGGGCGGACTCACTGACCTTCCAGGCATGGTAGGTTCCTGAAGGGTCCGTCTGATACAGCCTGGGAGTTCCATCGTCGTCGAAGCCGACAATTAACGCGGAGATGCCGAATGGCCTGCGCCCATTGCTTTGAGTGTAGCGCTGCAAATAATAGGACCAATGTACAGACAGGTGTGACTGGCCATTCTTAGAAACCTTTACATAAATAAGCCAGTTCTATTAGAGCACGGCAACTAAAACTATGTTCTTGAATAGTAAACAATAAATCATGGGTTAGAAGGTTGGGCACCTGTTTCAGTGTAGCTATGTAGCGTGTGATGTATTCCACTGTGACTGGGTCCTCAACAGTTAGCCTGTGGCTCTGGCACTCCACCCGAGCTCTGTTGATCACAATACGGGCATCTGCCGTCAGACCTTTAAAAAAAAAATGGAAAGATGTTAAATAGCTATACAAACATAAACGGTTAAAGACTAGTGCTACATAGATATCTGTTGTGACGTAGTGGTTGTAACACCCTTTCTTAGTCCATTACTCCACTCTGCCATGTTTCATGATAAATGTATTATTCAGTTACTGGTAAAAGGTTTTGTTGTTTGAAGTACCTGCAAATGCCATGCAGACATGCTCGTCCAGGGCACATATCTTGCGGACGGTCCTTTCCTCCTGCAACTTTGCCACAGATTTCTTCTCAACCCCAAGGACAACAATGTCTTTACCTCTGATTCCCACCTGCAAAGAAGGAAAACAAAATGAATTTCTGAACTTTGGCATCACAGAACATTTTACTCCCAGTGGCAATTGTTGATATGACGTATTGAATAGCAATGAGCAAATATCAAGAATCGAAAAACTGATCTAACAAACTGGGGGTCTGTTACAATTAGGATAGGGACACCTTTCAATTGAGGACTTCAGGCTGAATGTTAAAAAGACGGTATTTTGATGGTTTACAAGCTGGTTTACACTTTTATTACGGTCAGATCTTCTATTAAGGTCTATTCAACAAAATTGGCTTGCCGTTAATCAGACTACTCTAACAATTACTCTTTAGATAAAAGCTCTTCTAAACATTTAAGGGGTTTTAAGGGTTAACTTATAAATAACAGGTTTCGATGGACGGATTACAATCAGACAGTTATCGTTCAATGTAATTCTGCCAGAAGTCCCTTTACAAGCTACAAAGTTACACGAACTACCACCATACTATTGTTTAGCAAAGTATGACTTCGCAGACAGTGTATTAATCAAATATTGTTTGAGTGAGCTACCTTGAGTTGATATCTCATTGAAACTGAAACTATTGAGAGAGTGACACAGCAACAACATGCTTGCTAGTAAGTCTTTCGTCTTCAGTATTTTACGTGAGGTTAACTGTTATAGTTCTTTCATTGGCTACAGATTAGCACACCAGCGGGGTCGTTGAAATGGCAACACTTAAATGCAACAGATTGTGTGATTAAAACAAAGCTAAATAGAAGAGTACTAAGAGTGTATGCTAGTCGCTAGCTTAGCTGGTTGGCTAACTGACGTGTGCTAACATTAGCTTAAGCACTAGTTTCATTTCAGGATTTACCGCTGTGGAGCCTTTCTTTACAGCTTCTTGTGCGTACTCCACTTGGAAGAGATGACCATCGGGAGAAAAGACAGTGATAGCTCTGTCGTATCTTGCCGCCATTGCACTGCCGAACTAATGACGATACAATCACAAGAAAAAAGGGAGACTAGCACCAAATGATTCAGCTAGTTAGCAATATGTGAAGCTGGCTGCCCTGTGTTGAAAACAGCGCATGCGCATGCCCTCTGAACTCGGGCGATACCATTACTAGGGTTCATGCGTTCGCTAGAGGAAATTTGTAATTAACATTTGATTAGAATCGTCGCTATTTGATTTGCTCTTCGTACCAATAGTTTTTATATTTCAAAGTTACAATACGAGCATTTCTAAGTTTTCATTGACTCTGTCAACTTCAAGACTGAGCCAATGTGGAATGAGAGATAAATGTGGGTGAACTAAACACATACGAGGACTAATATACATGTGTATCAGCTATTACTGCACAAGTGCAGCATATACGGTATTATTACTACTATTTTATAGAAATAGATTAAAGCTCTGACTGTGTTTCCCCTTTCTTTAGTTTAGAGCATTCCATTTCCCGTGGCCTTTAGGACCAGATCTAGACTGTTCCACTATATGAAAGAAATAGGTGAAATCGTGATTCAATTAAGCCAATCTATTGTGGCTATCAATTATATAAGTAAATATGTTGAAATATTATAATACATGAAACTTTTATTTTAACACCAGGTGTCCCCGTGTGTTTTAAAAATCAAACATTTCTACTATGTTTTCAAATATGCTGTACGACCCCCCCCCCTAAAACGGACCACTGCATTACGAAATTGAATCCTATTCTAAACTGCTTGATCTGAGTTCAACCGATGTGAGAAGTGTGTTCGCTACTTTGGACTTTTATGCTCTCGTCCACTTTAATTGCATAGAGTATCACCATGTCGGTGGCGTTTGCACCTCACAGGCAGCGCGGGAAGGGTGATATAACACCCGCTGGAATACAAAAGGTAAATCATGTTGGCGCGTCTCAGAATGGAGGCAACGGCATCAGACGATGCTAGCGGCGGTGCTAATCTGTGTAGCGGTGCGCGTCCAAGTCCGACTGGGAATAGATCGGGAACAGTTTTGCAGGGTCAAAGCGCGGCGGATATGAACCTCTCTGGAGTCACGACGCCACGCGTGAACAACGAGTCTTAGGTCGATGTACCGGCCTATCGCATAATTATATTTCTAATGAATGAGGGCCTGTCGTTTTGTTAGCGTGGGACAGCTAACGTTAGCTAGCGAGACGCGTCTTTTGTTAGCAAGAATCGCAGACTCGTGTCACTAAACGTCCTCCATCCTCCACGTTGTTTTCAAATTGCGGCAGAATAACCATACGACATTACTCCGTGTCACTAATTGTAAACGGTGTGTTATCACACATAACATAAACACGTGACATAAATCTCTGCATTTGCTGTTGCAGTTACTTGACGAAAACAACCAGCTGATCCAGTGTATAATGGACTTCCAAAGTAAAGGCAAAACAGCAGAATGTTCACAGTAAGTTATGAACCCTTCTCTCTTGTATGCACGTTAGTCATTTTAATTGCACATTAACTCAAACCCTGTCTTGACTCTCCACCTGCGCAGGTATCAACAGATGTTGCACAGAAATTTAGTGTACCTGGCCACGATAGCAGACTCCAATCAGAACATGCAGTCTCTCCTCCCTGCTGTGAGTATTGGTCCTTGCTGATTGTTATGAGTGACAGAATTGTGTTTAACAGTGTGACCTCTCTGCATCACGAGGTAATGTTTCTGCTCATGTCCAAAATAAGTCTTTTTGTTATTAGTTCAGGTAAATCACATAAACAATACTCAAGAAAACTTTTATAAAGTCAGGATTCTGATCAAAGAGTTCAATGCAATATTGCATTTACCAATGAACAAGAGCTAGTTACACTAACAAACAGTTTAAGTTTAAATGTATGATGTAATGTTTTTTTCTTATTTAATGTCAAATCCAGTCAAACTAGAGGTTGAAAGGTGTGTGCTCCTCTAAGTATCAGTGTGACCTGTTGACCTATTGTAGATGTTATTTATGGATGCACAGCCAGTTTAAACTTGTTCTATACTGGGTTTGCTTGAAAGCTCATTCATTTTGGAAGAATCAGAATCCAAGTATATTAACATGCAATGAATTTGGTTTGGTGTATTGGTGCATAACAATTAACTTGGTGAGAAATATTTTTTAAAAGCAAGTACTACAAAAGTCAAGAAATATAGATAAAGAAGTACAATAATGTGAAAAAATATACTACGAAGAATATGCACAATATAAGTATTTTAAAATGAAAGAGCTGAACAGTTTTAGAAGTAGTAGTTTTGTGCTGAAATGTGCTAAATATTGTGCAGGGGATGTGCAAAAGTTCACCACAGGAAGTATAAAAAGTGTAGTCGTATATCATATTTAAAGCTGCAGTGTATCGGATTGATTTACTATTAATTAGATAATAATGGTCTGTGTTTAATGCTTTTCTATTCATTGATGAGCCCTGGTTATGACTTCATTGAGAGCAGTTAATTCAGTGTTTGTGTGACTATGTATTGTACTGCTTGCGTATTTATTGTCCCTTTTTGAATCCACTATCTTTTAAAAACGTCTGGCTTCCTTGATTAATGGAGCTACAGCAGTTCTACTGTATTGTAATATTTTCTACAGAGATCTTGGCTTTTATCTGCTTCTCTTTTCATCAGTTTTCTCTTTTTTTTTATGCGGCTCCGGCTCAGATCTGTTTCTAGCGAGCTGATGTGTGTTTTTGTGTCTGTGTTGTGCGCCTGCAGCCGCCCACTCAAAACATGCCCATGGGACCTGGTGGGATGAGCCAAAGTGGACCCCCCCCTCAGCCTCCTCACGGTCACAACATGCCGTCTGAGGGTATGGTCAGCGGTGGCCCTCCAGCCCCACACATGCAGAACCAGATGAATGGACAGATGCCTGGTAAGTGACCCCCCCCCCACCTTCCCTCCCTCGTCTTTCTCTCTATTTTTCTTTCCCCTTCTTCTTCTCTCAGTCCCTGTCTCACTTGGGTTGCCTAGCAACACCACAGAACTGTGAGGGCGGTCGCACTGCTGAAGGATGATGTCACACATTCGCCTGCATTGGTGGTCTTGGACTTGACCTTCGTTTAGTCGTGGTTACCCCCTCCTCCTTAAACATCATGATTTGTTTCAGTGTGTGTTTTGTTTTGTTGTTTTTTTGGCAAATTTATATGTTTTTTTATTATGTTAAAAAACCATTAAAGAGGCAGTGATTGCTGTACCACGCAAGCATTGTACATTGTGAAGGGTAAGCGTCTAGGACCTTATTAGAAACCAGAACATGTTGCATGTAGGGTCGTTTTTTAACTGGTAGTGTTCACTTTAGCTGTGCCGTGATGTTTCCTGAATATCCATCGACAGCTTACAACAGTGAATATACATTTATAACAATATAATGGTATTACTTTTACTCTTTAGATGACTTAAGTGTAGGCACCGGCTTTCAGTTTGAAATGCCTTTGTAGCATCACGAAAGAGTTGCCCTCCTGGAGGTTGTCTTCCCTCGCAACTTCCCATTCTTCATTGAACAAATGGGAACCTTGTTACTCTGATCTGCTCATTTTTCTTTTGCCATGCTGTTGGATGTGTTGTGAAGTCAGTGGCATTTTTTATATAATGTGTGACACATGGTAAATCGTTAAGCGATAGAAATCTTTCTACATCTAAATATGTAAGATTCAGTTGCTTTTTGTGGATCGATCAGCTTTAAATATTGCAAGCGAGGAATGAAAAGAAGATCAAACTCAAATGGACTGGTTGGACAGAGGTGCAGGTGATAAATTATAGTTGCTTACAATTTGGATCAGCTTATTTACTCTACACAGGAACAACAACAATAACAACACGTGTCGCTCGCTACCTCATCCCTACAACCTGCCTGATCCGCACTGCACATAGTACTGCACACCTGTGGTCAAACACTCTCATCCAACTTATTGTTCTCTGATAATGCTACATTGTGAACAACACATCTGTGTTGAAATTGGCAGGAGGAGAGCAGTTCAGCTGTTAGCAGCTAACAGCGGCTAAATAACGAAGCTAACGGCTAACGTCATCAGAGGTTCCATTGAGTTACATAATGATGAGTTCAAGCTTTATTCAGTAAAAATGAGTGTTGGGTGAAGTTTTAGCAACTGATAATATATATTAAAAAAAACTGCCAATGCCAAGATTTTTAAAGTAAATGTTAAAACAAAAATACAATGATTTATTTTCTAATCGTATATATTAAAAATCTAAGGTATCTGCGAGGGACAAAAATGAAAGAATAGATTGATTTCCAACATATATCACAATGTCATGGAAATTACACACGTTTGCGTACTAAATACGATGGTGGTTTTTAAAGTCAAGTCATGAATCGTCTGTTGTCGTTTTCCAGGGCCTAATCACATGCCCATGCAAGGTCCAGGCCCCAACCAGCCCCCAAACATGCCCAGTGGCTCTATGAATATGCCCCCCAGCAGCCATGGCTCGATGGGTGGTTACAATCACACCGTCCCTGCTTCCCAGGGCATCCCAGCGCAGAGCCAAATGAACATGACCCAGGGCCAGCCCATGGGAAACTATGGGCCTCGGCCAAACATGAACATGCAGCCCACTCAAGGTAAAGCAACTCATTTTGTTAGCTTTCACTTGGTTGTGTTGATTGATTTTCTAGTACCCAATCACCTACCGGCCTTATTGGTGCTTCACCATCCACCTGCACCTGCATTAGATGAGCCATATCCTGCTTGTATGTTTTTGCTACCTAGTACAGTTTGAGAGTTGACTCTTTGTTGGTGTGCCGCAGGCCCCATGATGCACCAGCAGCCTCCCTCTCAGCAGTATAACATGCCTCCTGGTGGTGGTGCGCAGCACTACCAAGGACAACAGACTCCAATGGGCATGATGGGCCAGGTCAACCAGGGGAACCACGTCATGGGCCAGAGGCCAATGCCGCCCTACAGACCCCCACAGCAAGGTATACCCCTCAGTGTGTCTGTGAAGTGTGCAAGTTGTGAGCGTTGGCCTTTCTTCTTCCTAACCTGCCCTCCTGCATTTCTTACTCTTGTTCTTCTCAATTTCCCCTATTTCCACTTCTGCAGCTCACAGACATCTTGATGACTAAACATGTAATCTAAAGCCTCCAATTACACAACTAGTCGAGTGGCCAAAAGAAAAGCTTTCTAACAAGAACTAGCGGCAAGGAAATCCATCCTCTCCACTCTTCCCCTCACACAGCCAATCCAACAACACCTTGAATCTACTTGTGTGTATGTTGTGTGTACGTGTATGTAGGACCCCCTCAGCAGTACCCAGGGCAGGAAGACTACTATGGCGACCAGTACAGTCACGCAGGACAGGGAGCCTCAGAAGGTAGGAGAACCCTCCAGTCACTTGGAGAGAAAAAAAAAAAAAACCCCAACAGAAAACAAGCCCCGGAGTTGTGTTAAAACACAAATGATGCAAAGAGACTGTGACAACACCAATGTTTCAGTTTCTTCATCATTTTCTGGGAAATCAAAGTGACTTTGGACTCTTATCAAAGGCCAAATACGGCCTCTAATTTTGAAGAAACATGCGCGAGTGCACCCTGTTCCAAAAGGTGCTGCAGTCCATGAACAAGTTAGCACCTAGCCAGTCTTGTAATGCCCCCCCCTTCCCTAATCATGTCTGATGCTCCACCTGCTGGTGTGAAAGAAAGGTCAGGGACAGTCTCGTGTGAGTCTTAATGGCCAAAGTTGTCTTTAAGTGCAATGTTAATCCTTCAGATACTCACAATAACATGCCAGAGGATCCTTTGATACTCCATGGCCTGCTACTGGTTTGCGTGTTTGGAGTATAGTAATGACCAGAGTATTCATATTGCCAACTTGCAAGTACTTGAAGCGTACTGCCATTGTTTGGCGATACACTGATTTGCAGAAGAGCAGCACTATTGACAGTTATTTTTGAGAACTGTGCTACCACTGCATTACCCTCTAAATATAACATATGATCTGCTACCATGTTTATGTGTTAACAGGTGGTATTATTTCATTAGCAGCCACACTGATAAAAGTCACCACAGATTCATAATAAACAGCTCCCTCTCTTTCTTTGTCTAATTAACAATTACTTATTTGTTGTGTGTGTGTTTTGTTTTTCTTCTCTACTGTCTACACTGGTTTCCTTTTGACCTTTTCCAAATACAACTTCTTTCCTTTTTCTTGAAGTAAAGACAGTCCAGCCATTTCGACACAAACAAAAACAACAAAATCTTCTTAAAATATGGCTGGCTCAAAAACTTGTTTGTCTGCTCTGCTGTTGTAGTTGTGAACATGTTGCTCACATTGCCTGTGAACATGTTGCTCACATTGCCTGTGAACATGTTGCTCACATTGCCTGCTATTGCCCCCTTGAAGGTAACGCCCAGTATGGCCAGCAGCAGGAAGCATACCAGCAAGGCCCCCCCCAGCAGCAGGGCTACCCTCCTCAGCAGCAGTACCCGGGTCAACAGGGCTACCCACCGCAGCAGCAGGGCTACGGTGAGTTGCTTTCCCTCCAACAGTGGCACACATTTGTCCTGCAGGAGGCACTATCCGCTCTCTTTCGCTCCCCCCTTATTTCTTTTTGTAACTGTCGACTAATAATTCCTCCTGAGTGAGTCGGTGGTTGCGGCCCCTCGACTGTGCCAAATGCATGTCGAGGCATCATCAAGAGCAAGGAATTAAAGAACCACCTTAATGAACGGTTGGGGGATTGGAGCTCGGTGGAAGAGAAATTTAATCAGCATAGTGGTGGCTGGCACCACATTAGCATTTCTCCTGGTGCTGCAGTTTGATATGACACACTGTTCTGAGGGAGTGGGAGAGCAGCTTTGGCTGATGGGTACAGACATTGGGCAAAGTGTGTGTTGACTGCCAGCCAAACATTTTGAACTCTAGTTTTTTTTTTTTTGAATAGTTAAGCCAATATGTTAATTGTATACATACATATTAAAGAGTAGGTGTAAGTTTAGTCATTGAAGATTGTAACTTTTTTTTTTTTGTTGTTGTTATTGGAAATGGCTGAATCGTTTTACATTCAGCAGTCTCCACTCTTTGGAGCTCACGATAGAAAAGGCAAGCTCATGGACAAATTAACCTGAACTGAGAAAAAGTCTAGTAGACTTTGGTTAGACCACTTAATTGACGTATTGTGTATTCTTTTTTTAGATTTTCAAACTTGAAGGCATTCACAATGAGCGTGTGGCCTCTGGGTTTTAACCAAAATAAAGTGTGTTTTAAAACAATGTTCCGCGTGCTATGTCGGCTCCTGCAGCTCTCTGGTCTTTGTGTTTTTTCTTCTTCATCCCATTTTTCACCGGAACTTTCCATCACTCACCCCTCTGTCTGAGCCAGAGCTCGTGTTAGTAATGAGCTTGCGGAGAAGCAGAGGCTGTGAGGTGAGCTCCATCTGGCACACACACACACACGCATGCCTTCTCTCGCCGGCCCTCACAAGGTTATGCTCAACAGCAGAAGGCATTATGAGCTCCTAACGATGCTGCGTGGGCCTCATTTGACTTCAGCCACAGTCGAGCTTAGCGTGGTCCTCCGCAGCACCTGCATAGATAGCTACGGTGTACGGGGGCTGATGGAAGTCATTTTTTCTCTCTCTTTTTTTTTTTTTTTTAATGAAGCCCGCTCCTCTAATGAAGACCAACAGAATCTCCTTGATGTCTCCTTGCATTAGGAAACCACCGCCCCAGCTCCAACCCGGCTCACTCATTTTCATTCATTACCGAGTTAGACATGGACGCAGCCTCAACAAATGGGTCGGATATATCCACCATCCCGTCTTTGTCATCTATCAGATTTTTTTTTTTTATTGCAGCCCATTAGCGATAGTGAACCAACAGGGATTCCCTGGAGTTCTCAGAGTAACAAGTGGGAAACAGAAATAGTTAATGAGCAAAACACGGGCCGCTTTCACACTGGGTTCCTTTGTTTGAGTCCAAACCTGAGTTCCATTGTCCCACCTCCATCGAAAAGGCCGAAGCCTTGCACTGCGTTAAAAGAAAACGTGTGCAGTGGGGCAACTCTTAATTGTGTGAGCGAGAGTTCGAGTCGACTCTGCCCAACAACATTTTTTTTTAAATTTGAGTTCTCATCGTTTGTCGTAGGGCCTACCCAGTCTGCCCCAGGACAGTATCCCAACTATCCTCAGGGGCAGGGACAGCAGTACGGGGGCTATCGCCCTCCTCAACCGGGACCCCCACAGGGCCAGCCGCAACGCCCTTACGGCTATGACCAGGTGAGTATGCCCACAACACTGGAGAGTCACAGCGACTAGTTAATGTATTGGCCTTAGTTTGTCCCTAAGTTGCCAGACTAAGTTGTATATTTTGTGTAGTGACACCAATATGAGTGAAGTTAGAAGGTAAATATTAAAAGTTAGTGTGTTGTGCATGCCCACATCATATTGGGGGGTTAAATCTGCTCTTCCCAAAAGAGTGTATGTGTTACTATTGTCTTTCACTTGTTTAGTTAAGCCTTAGTTGTATATCCTGGCAAATACGGTTAGATAATGAGGAATTCAGTGAGATATGAGGGCTTTACGAGGACGCTTCCTTAAACGTGATGCAGACTGCTGTAGTGTTTAAAAAGGGGGATCTATTTGTTTCCCTTGTATTTCCTGTGGTCTTATGTGGGGACCACAGCTACACTTTGATATCTTTATCTTTGAATATTCAGGGACACATCAGGAAATAAAGACCCGGGGATTTGAACCCCTGACTAGCTCTGTAAGAAGCAAAGGTAATGGTTGCTGTGAAGACCTCGACGTCCAATCTAGACGTTTGGCCACCTAGCCTTAATTTGCATTTATTATGATTCTTCTGTCTCTCTTTTGTCTTTCCTCCATCTTTCTCTTTTACGTTCTTTAATTTCTTTAATTTTATTTGAATAACCAGGGGTCGAATTGTAAGTTATGAGGTCCAGAAACACAGCATGCTTAGTCTGCAGTGAGACAGCCAACAGCTCAGTGCTTTGGCTGTGTCCTTAATCTCTTCAATTCCCTGTACTGATTTGGAATATATATTTGAATTATATCAGACTGTCAGATCATAGTTTGTTGATCAAAATTTGTGTCCATTGTATTTTGCATCAATGCCAAACGCATACTTCGACCCCTGTTTAGAACTGCATCAACTACTGTTGTCGCACTTGAAACAAGTGTCTGCTATTTATCGAGGAATACCTCGTGTCCTCAGCCATGTTGCTGCTGAAACCTGAGGTACAAAGTTAGAATTTAAGAGCTCTCAAGTTGTGAGGCCATGCTGCCACCTGCTGGTCAATACCAGCTAATGCAGCCATACATCACGGTTTGCATTATGATGTGGTCGAAACCCCAGATGTTTGTTTGCACCCTATCGTGATTGTGTGAATAAAAGCTTTTTTTTTTTTTCTCGAGAAGGTTCAGTAACACGACTCTGTCTCATTTCTCTCTGCAGGGCCAGTATGGGAATTACCAGCAATGAGAGACGGTCACAGCAACCCACACAGCTCCGCTCTGATCTCTGCCTCAACTTTGACCTCTGGTCAAATGCCAAGCAGACTCAAACGATGGTTGTAGCTCACTGAGAGTCTCAGACAAGAACATGCAACACTCAAAAATACAAGATACGTTTCCCCCTCTCTTTGGGCTCTGATCCTCGCCTCTAAAATGTATTCTGTTTGTCATGTACATTGACCTTCACCCTCTGGTTCAGTAAGTCTCAAAGCAGCAATGCCTTAAAAGTGGAACTGCCTTATCCTTTAGCATTGCAGATTGTGAAAACGGGCTAACAAAAACTTTGGATATCCGAGATGATTTAAATGTACAGTTTTAATCTACCGTGGTGCATTGTTTCTCTGTCCTTCAGCTCCTCGTTCATAAGAAGCAATAATGCCAGCACTAGGGAAATGTGGGGGGGCGGGGGCTCGGTGATGAAATAATGCACCAGATGAACTTCCGGCTAGGCCATGGTACGTGTCTTGATGTATGTGATGATGTAAAAATATATTTTATGCTTTTTAGATCACGCTAACTTTGTATAAGACATTGGAAACTAGTACTATTAGCTGTGTCGTTTATTTCATGAAGTGTATGTGTCAATTTTTTTTTTTTTTTT